AATGACTAATGATGTTGAACATTTTCTCATATATTTATTTGCCATTTGTATTTCTTTATTGAGAAATATGTATTCATCTCAGATGCCCATTTTTGGATTGGGTCTTTGAATTTGGGGGGGGCTGATATTTTTAAATTCTTTTTTAAAATTTATTTTAAAAATAAAAGAAGGAAAACACTTTAACAAACAGACATCCATTTACAAAGTAGCAAAAGAACAATACAAACAATATAGAATAACAGACAATGTGGTATATATCAGTCAATGAAATTGAAATTGCAATTAAAAATTTACCAGCAAAAAACCCCGAGGTCCTGATGGATTCACTGCTGAATTCTACAAGAAATTTAGAGAAGAATTAATGAAATTCTTAGTCTTTAATGAAATTGAAAGGGAAGCAATACTCCCTAACTCATTCCTGGAGGCAAGTATTACCCTTATACCAAAACCAGAGGAAGAGCTAACCAAAAAAGAACTATACACCAATTTCTCTAACAAATATAGATACAGAAATCCTCAACAGGTACTAGCAAACAGAATGCAGTAGATCATCAAGCAAATTAAACATCATTACCTAGTGGGATTCAATCCAGGAATGCAGGGTTGGTTCAACATATGCAAATCAATAAATGTAATATATCATATCAACAAAGCCAAAGACAAAACATTGTATGGTCATCTCAACAGATGCAGGAAAAGCATCTGAAAACCCTAACATTCATTCATGACAAAAATAGAAAATCAAACTAGATGATCTTTATCTCAATCTGATAAAAGCCATCAATGGAAAACCAACAGCAAATATCATATTAAATGGACAAAAACTGAAAGTTTTCACTCTAAAATCAGAAACAAGACAAGGATGTTCATTATGACCACTCCTATTCAATATAGTGCTGGAAACATTAGGCAGAGCAGTTAGACAAGAGAGAGAAATAAAAGGAATAAGGATAGGAAAGGAAGAAGTGAAATTACCATTATTCACAGATGTCATGATGCTCTACATAGAAGACTCCAAAAA